CAACATGGTCAACAAGTGGAAAGAGGGAAACGGAGCTGGGAGGGAGAGTTGCGTCCTACTTCCCTAAGACCAGAGGGAGACCCGGAGGGAGGACACGTGGTATCACGGGATTGGGAAGGGAAGCAGTGATCACATGCTCATCAAGAGGGGTGCAACGAAGGACAAGGCATAAGGAGCCATGTGGCAGCTCCTGAAAATAGGAAACTGCGATCAAGAGATCACTGAGATGCACGCCAAGGGAGGATTGATGGGGGACAATCGAGGAGCCACGTGATTGTTCTAGATGGGGAGGTAGAGCCGCCTGCTCTAAGGCCAGGGATGAATTGCCTTGGAAAATGGGGTTCATGGAGCCACCTGTCGTCCCATCGGCCTTAATGATGGGAAGCTCGAGAGGCGGCGATGCTCCTGGGGCAGAGTTTGCCGCATTGGACGCTGACGATGATTTCTCATCTGCCCTCTATGTGAGACCTTGGTCCATCTATCCTGGTGTACTAAGGAACATGATCCAAACAGAGGAGGATCGTGGTTTATAATTTGCTGGTTTCTTAAGTCAGTCTGATTCTTATTACCTTTCTCTTAATTGGGTATGACTATTTTAGTACACAACGCGTAATCTGTATGACGGGTGCTTGTCTTTCTCTATCTTTAAAATTTTCATTAGTCTCTCTTGATATTCTTGATCTTATCTCCTTCCTCTCAATCAAATTCTTTCCTCTTGAGTACAATACCATTTGCTTGATTTTGATGGATTTTTTTTCCTTATTGATCAATGTTGGACACTAGATCTGGTCCAAATACTGGTGTTCTTGATGAACTGCTGGTTTAAGATGTTCTTGAATTTTGGGGGATCTCATTAAATCGTTGAAGAATAGGGTGTTCAGGGATGAATTAGACCTCAGAGTCTTGATGGCTCCTGATTAGTTCTAGGGGAAATTAAATGTCATTTTATAGATTTAATTGCAGTATTTTAATGGTGAGAGAAGTGTTTTTTGCTTATTATTTGATCACACTAAATGGAAGGTGCTGGAGAATTAGGAAATTTTTAGGCTTTGAAGCTTTTAATCTGATCCATCATATATCTCTCATCTCATTCTTTCGCATATTATAACAATGAAATACATAATGAACAATATTGCAGGCAGCTTTCTCATTACCCAACAGGTGAAATTATCAGCACCATAGTTTAACAAACATGGTTTCCAGCTTTCACACTACCAATTTTCACCTCCATCCCAGAATCTAGGAAAGCCACAGTAGGGGTGATTCCCAGGGAGACTGCAGCGAAAGTTATCAAACGCTACCTAAGGGTGAAGAGCTAGGTTGAGGGGTCGAATAGATGGCTAAGGATGGGCTTGACAGAGGGCTTGTGTATGAAGCCATATGGTGAACAGACTGGGTAGGGCTCAACATCAACGCTTGATTAGGCGAGGCAATGGTGCCAACAAGATTGGGAGATGGGGGAAGAGAAGAGGAGGAGATGAATTAGAAGGAAAATGTTGAGGTGAAATAATGAGGCTAGGGGAGGGCATACCAAGAGGGGGTGTAGGAGGAAGGGGTTGCAAGCCTGGGATGGCGTTGAGAGAGGGTGGAGAAAGAGAAGGAAAAGAGAGCGAGGGTGAAGAGGGTATAGGAGCTTGGGAAGAACGAGATGAAGGAGCAGTTTGCATGTGAAACACGATTGGATGGGTGAAAAGGGGCACCACCATCAGTGTAGAGGAAGGGCTTAGACAAGGTAATTGAGAAAACAATAGCGTCAACGAGTGAAAAGAGGGAAAGGGAGGAGAATTTCTTGCTACTTTTCAAAGATCGGAGGGAGACATGGAGGGAGGACACCTGGTGTCATGGGATTGGAAAGGGAAGCAGCGATCACATGCTCACCAGGAGGGTTCGACGAAGGACAAGGGACGTGGAGCCACATGGCATCTCTTGAAAAGAGGAAACTGCGATCAGGAGATCGTTGAGATGTACAGTAGGGGAGGATCAATGGCAAGACAATCGAGAAAAAACCACATGGCTGTTCAAGAAGGGGAGATAGAGCCGCCTGCTCTAAGGCCAGGATGACTTGCCTTGGGAAATGGGGTTTATGAAGCCACTTGTCGTCCCATCAGCCTTAATGATGGGAAGCTTGAGAGGTGGCGAAGCCCTTGGGGCAGCAGTTTGCTTAGTACCAACTCTGTTAGCCGCACGATTGAAACTTGGACGCTGATGGTCATTTCTCGACCGCCCTCTATGCGAGACCTCGGTCCATCCATCCCCGTGTATCAAGGAATGTGATCCAAACAGAGGAGGATCATGCTCTATGAGATGGGGGGTCGATGGGGGAGAGGTGAAGGACCAAGCCATGGGAATGTTCAAGAAGAGGCTATCAACTTCAGCCAGATGGAGGGCGGGATGAGGGAAGGGGCCTACGATTCCATGAGAAGTTGGATTGATCCAAGAGGAAGGGTGCTTGAGGACCCCTAGTAGACCAAGCAAAACGCATCGCAAGAGTCCCCAATTTTTTTGAAAGTGTCGATGTGCCACGCCTGCATGGGGACGTTGGTGGCCTGAAACCAAATTGTTTGCAAAACGGCTCCCAAGTACTAATGCCAAACAGAAAGGGTTAGAGATGCCCCATTGAACCGAGAATGGTGTCCCTGCAGGGCACTATTACAACTGACTTCATATGGGAAACATAAAAGAAATTCTCTAAGCAGGTTAGGTCTGAGAAAGCCCAAACTTCCCTCTTCCATTTCTTTATACCTTTGATGTCATGCTTGGGGGGTGTATAGAACTACCAAAGAGGACCTCAAAGCCGTCACAATATGGGAAGAGTGTGGCCCCCCAACTAGAATGGCGAAAGGGGTGAGGGAGCTCTATTATAGATGAGGTGGGTGTAGCTATGGTAAGGATGGGAGAAGAGGCTAGAGAGGAAGAGGGTTGGGCGAAGGTAGGCGGTGGTCGAGTACGGGTCAGAGCTTGGGAGGAGGAAGGTGGTGGTCGAGTAGGGGTCAGGGCTTGGGTGGAGGAAGGCGGTGGTCGAGGAGGGCCCAGGCTAGGGAGAGGAGGGAAAGCACTCCAACAAGGACCCAAGTTCATTGAATCACCCTCTCTGTGTATTTTTAATTATCTCTAATACGGTCAACCAGCATTCTTCCTCTCAATTACTGGTGGTACATATAAAAGTTACTCACCAGTCAACCAACCTTCTTCCTCTCAATCATTGGTGGTACATACAAAAAATTACTCTCCAGTTTAGTACTATTACCACAAAAAGTTCTTAATATCTTAAAACATCGTAAAAGAATAAAACATGAATTTTAAAATTATAAATATTATTCTTTTACCAAAGTATCTATACATAATTAAAATAATAGATAAATAAGAAAAACTAACATTAAAAAGTAAATACATGCATCCCATGTAAGAATATGGTTGTTCAACTTCTAGACACATGTCAAAACTTATGGAGGCAAAAATGTCAAATAATAGGTGTCCATGTGTGAAACTTCGAGATGTGAACCAGCAAATGCCTCCATGTTTGACACCAAAAAATAGCATGCTTGGTGATCTTTACCAGATTGTCTACACCAAACACACCATCTGAACCTATAACTAAATTTTAATGAAGCTACGTATGTTCTACTTTAAGTGAGAGGAGTAACGACTAAACCCAAATCCATGAAAAGATAGACTAAATTAAATCATTTATAGAAACAACATGTAAAACCAAGTTACATCCTAAACATAATACCAGTAAACTTCCACTATAAAGAAAATAATTAAGATAAAAAAAAAAAATTATAATCAACATACAAACTAAGAAAAATTCAACTAACAACTGCATGCTAAAAAAAGTACCATTTCAAAAGGAAAATGTACTCAGATTCAGGGACATGGTAGCTGATGGAACTATGGCTGCCATTTTCAAACTAGAGAGCAATATCTATAGTACCTTCAAAATCTCTTCTGCAGATATTGGACCAGATGTCCAGTCCAATGTATATTGCGGGCAAATAAACCCCAAGACCAATAAATAGTTAAAAAAAAAGCAGCCTAGATAAACCTAAATAATCTAGATGAATCACCACAATGAACCCCAAATCGTAGAATTCCAAAATCCAAGCATATGGCAACAAATCAGTAGCAAAAACCTTAAAAAAGAAACCTTGAAAACTAGATAAACCGTAAATAGGGCACCGGGAACAAAACCTTAGTTCAGGTTAATGGATGGCCTCAAAATTTCAAAAGCAAAGCAACATAAACCAGAAAAAATCCCTAGAAGGAAGACACCTGTGACTTGAATTCAATGTAGGAAACCCTAATACTCTTCGTGCTCCATGGATTCAACGTCGTCTGGGTTAGCTAAAACACCACCCATATATGTAGACTAGTGTAGAAGAAAGCCTAATACTAGTTTGCAAAGCAAAAGTAGAATAACAAGAGTCGCAGTAAAGAGTTTCTCTCTATAAAAAAAAAACTAACCAGTAAGAAAAATGAGGGTGGATAGCTTTTATAGTGATACAGATTTTTATTTTACGAAGTGTCTAAAATGCTAACACTGTAAAATCAAAACAACTCCCTAAGTCCGTTTACACTGTAATCTGGAAATGGGTTCCAAACGTTTGCAGACACAGATTGATTCAATCTCTCATTTAACAGGAGGATAAAACAGAAAACAAAGAAGAAATGAAAGAATCTTGTAGAGAGAGAGAAAGAGAGAGAAGGGGAAATCTAACTTGCTCCTAGGGTTTTGAAGTAGAAAGAAAGCACAAAGAGAAGAGAAGGGCAAAGAGGAGGAGAAGAAGGGAAAAGTAGTACTTCAAAATTCAAACTAATGGGCCCCAACAAATATATGACTGTTGGTTTTGTCTCTACCTCAACCATCATATATTTCCCCTTCATGACAATCTCTCTCTCTCTTTGGTTCGTTCAAGCAAAAGGAACTTATCTTCCAAAACCAAAATTTTAATAAAAGAACGAAAGCAAAAAAAAGACGCATATAAAGGTTTTGCATTCACCTTGGTCTTCAAGATCTTGAGTTTCAAATCGTAACAAGTCTTGAGATTCTTCTTCCTCCTTTCTGCTCTTTTGAATTCCCATAAGCTTGAGTCTGACTTTTATAGGATATAGCGTCCCTCCCTGGAAAACAAAAAAAATGCTAATCATAAGCACTTAAAAACATACATGAACAAGATAATCAATAAAAATTTTAAGCATCTGATATCCAAAATCGTCTCTGACAGCTAAGTGTTCCACTGGGGTGGGGGTGGGGGGGGGGGGGGGGGGGGGACAAAGAAGAAAATTCCACTAGAAACCACAAAATAAGGCCCAGAAACACAATTCAATTCCCTAAACCCTATAAGAACTCTGGAATCTCCAAAAGATGTCCTTTCCATTAAAAAATACTTACACCCAAAAAAAGGAAAAGAAAATATAACACAAGAGAAGGCCTAGAAGCATAACTTCAACAATACATATCCTAAAAAATACCAAAACATCCAAATCCAAACACATAGGCGATCATAGAAATAAACCCATGGACAGAATCATATATGAAGAGCTCTTCTCATTCTCATTTTCTGTTTCAATTTAGCACAAAATCAGTAGAAAAAGATAAAGGAGAAAAAATAGTAAGAAGTATTACCAATAGCCTCCTATAACAACATCTCTCTCTCTAAAGTGGGTCAAATCATTGGTGAAAAGAAAATTGAAAGGGACATGAAGCATTGGAAGTTGGGAATGTTATGACAATCCATGCCTCTCTTAAAACTAAGAAATCAAGTTGTTACACAAAGTTGAATTCAAAGGAACTGCACAGCAAATTCAAAGATAATTAATATAAAGAAGAGAGATAAATAAGATAAACAAAGGCGATCGAACCATTTTGCTTATGGGGTAAGTTAACGTGTGACGACAACCTGAGGTATCGAATAAATCGCTTTTCCTCCGATATCTCCCTTACGACCCAAAGATTCTTGGAACAAATGACTGAAAAATCTAGAAACCAGAAAACAAATCTTATAGAGAAAAACTAAATAGAGATAGAGAATTAGAGAATAAATTTTTCACTTTCAATAATTAATATAGTGAGAGAATAAACAAAATGATGGAATTCGATGCATAAACAGATTGGTTAGAACACATAGAGAGAGAGATTTCTATCTTTTTCAAGGCTTGAGAATAATGATCAGAAAAAGGTAACTTTTACCATTATAAAAATCACTCGGAGAGTCATACTACTCTGTAATATTTATCAAAGAAAATGACTAAAGATTTTATGTTTGCAATTTCACATAGATTCAGAAATAGAAAATTTCAACTATTTCTAAATAACCATCTGAAGAATTCAAAACTCAAGAAAGAATGAATTGGTAAAGGCTAAAGCCTTGAAGTAGAGAATTTTACAGGGATGAGAACCAAAGAATTTCAAACGATTTTTCAAGAACCATTGCAAAAAAGATTAGTCCTTAAATATACCTCAGATGAATGCGGCATCCCATTTCATCTGGCAAATGCTTGATGCAGATGCCTTCTAGGTCCAGCACCCGTAAAAACTTGAAAACCTAGAAAAATGCTTACGAACCCCCCATAGCTCGGCTCGGCTCAGCTCATATCGGCTTGGCTCATCTTATATTGGCTCGGCTCAGCTTATGTCGGCTCGGCTCGGCTTATGTCAGTTAAAATAGCTAATTTTCAGTTTGCGCTGAGCCGATGTGAGCCGAGCTGATCCAAAATTAACTGAAAACAGCCGAGTCGATCCAAAATTAACTGGTACGAGCCGAGCCGCGCCGATCTTAGTTGACATTAGCGGAGCCAAGCCATTATTAGCTGATATGAGCCGAGCTGAGCCAATGTTAGCCGAGCCGAGCCGATATTAGTTGACACTAGCCGAGCTACTTAGCGCTGATAAAAAGTGGAGCCGAGCTCACTAAGTAGCTAAAAGCCCAAAAAATTTATCAGCTAGCTCGATGGAGTAAGACCATAAATCTAGTGCCGCTACCCTATTTTTCAAAAAAACCTCAAACCTTTTTAAATTTTTTTCAGCAGAACCATTATAAAACCGTATTTTATCTTCTTTAAAAATACATTTCAAATATACTTCTTCTCTATAACTTTATTTATTTATTAATTTATATTATTGATATTTGATTTAAAGATGAATACAACAAGAATGAGATTAAATTACGAATCCGGATTTAACAAAAAATTTCATCAAAAGTTTCATTTATTTCTCTTCAAACAGTGTACAAAAAAATCTAAGCAATATATTCTAAAAAAAAAAAAGGTAATTAAAGCAATCACAAAATAATATCTAGAATTAGAAAAAAGTAACCCAAAGAAAAATCTATTTTTTTTCTCTTTAAACCCATAGATTCAATGATAAGGAAATTCACTGAAATTTTCCTCTATCTTTTTTTTTCCTTTGGCTCATAGAGTTCGGCTATGCTGGCTACACACGGCTCGGCTCGGATCTATTAGGCTCGGCTCAGCTACAAAATGGCTCAACTCGGCTACGCATGGCTCGGCTTGGCTATGCACAGGTCGTATCAGCTTAGTTCAGTTTCGGCGTGGCTCAACTTATCGTCTTAGATCTGGTCATGTCAGCCGAGCCAAGTCTCGCTGAGCACAGCCGATCTTTTTAAGCCATAACTAGCCGAGCGCAGCCGAGATGATTCAAGCCGAGCGAAGCCTATGTAAGCCAAGCCGAGGAATTGAAAAAAAATAAAATAGTGAAAATACGAAAAAAAAATATTAACATAAAAATATATTACTACCAGAAAATTTGTGGAATTTCAGTGAAATTTTAACGAGATTCACTGAAATTTTAAAATAGTGAAATTGAGGAATTTCAATGAAATTTTAGAATATTAGATAAATTTTGGACATCATTTTCTATTCCCAAATTAAACAATCTTTTTTTTGTTTCGGCTACAAATTATTGTCTAAAAATCATAAATAGAGGATCTTCAAATTTCAATTTTATGGGTCTCATCATGTACATCACCCTCATCTTCTTCAATTGTTTAACTCTCCAACTCACAAGCTACCAGTGCATATCTCTCCAGAAATTCTTCCTCTGTTTTTTCATGATCACCCTCTTCAGAATCCTAAAATAACCAAATCAACAATAATTCATTGGCCAATTCGCCACACAGGCAGACTTCAAAATATTTCCACATTGTCAATGTAATCACTCTCATGCGGCAGCCGCCCGGGCTGGGGGGGAACTTACATCCTTATTCTCATCAAATCTTCCATTCCATCATCCTCATCTTCCTCGCCTTCATCCTGGACTTCTTTCAAATGAATATTTGCTTTAGAATGAGAATTGAAGCACTCTCGTGCAACTTCTAGAGCCCAGCCAGATGCCAATCCCACAAGATGTTTCACCTACTTTGTCAATGTGATTACTGCAACAAAAAGTTTTTAAGCCTTAGCAATTACCCATGAGGATCATAAAATCAATCCTTGTGACTTTCAGTTTAGAAGTCACATACATCACCTCTTTCAAAAGAGATGGGAAAACCATTGCTCGATTAGAAAACACCCAAAATGTCAAGGTGTTACTTGAAACAAGAAAATATGGCAGTACCTTTACAACCAAATATATCTAAAGAATTAAACTAATACATTAGTACATTATTCCCTAAAGCAGTTGCTAAACTCGAGGCTCTCGAGGCATTTACATTTATTTCCTTAGAAACCACAGAAAAATAAATCAAATTTCCATCCTTTACGTTCCACATTTTCCTATATGAACTCGTACAATTAGTTGCAGCTAACATGCCTTATTTTCTCAAAGACTTGGTAGTGGTTTGTTCACTGTTTTCATTGGCTTGCTGGTACCTCTTTCACAATTGTTAGCTCAAAAGGCAATGCATCACTTGCTTAGTAAAAGCATTGAAACCAATAGTCCAGAAGAAGCTATTCTTCTAATTGGCTATTGTGGATCAAAATTTAACCAAATATAAGTTCTGACCTTTGTGAGTCAAAAGGATATAATGGCCAACACCATCAGCTTGGAACTAAATCCCTGTATTGCAGACAAAATTCCAATTTTGTTTTTTATAATTGAAGTAAAAAATGTTACTTACAATTTCACCGAAATTCCATACATACTGAGACCTCTAATTTAGCCAAGATAATACAATGGGAAAACTCCACCTTCCTTGTTATGTCTTGTTTCCAACATGGATAAAGCACTTCTGAAGCACCTTCCTTTATACATACATATATACTAGAATGCACTATCCTATTGGTGATTTTAGAATTACTCCAAAATTTTTGACAATAGGTTGCCCTTATATTAGTTAAAACAACCTTAATGTTTTCTTTTTTATCAAATTAGGGAATTGAGGGTAATTGTGAATGAGTACAAAATCTCAAATTTCCAAACTCCCTCATTGGATCATTGGGATAGTGTGACTATCACAGACCCAAAAAATTTCTTACAATGCCTCCAAGATCTAACTTGGATTACTACTAAAAACAACAAGCATGGATATATGTTTACACTCTCACTCCCATGTGCACAAAACAAAGTCAGATACATCTCAATCTATCATTACCCATGATTTTTTTAAATACGAGTGTTAGAGAACAAATTATGGAAATTTGAGAACAAGACATCTTCTTACAATTAGGTCTATGGCACTCTAAACAAACTGAATAAACTAAATGTTGATGATTGATGACTAAAAATTGTATAAAGAATGAACAACACCAGTCAACCACACAAAAAAAGTGAACAGATGGAGAATTCTTTCACTTGCACTATAAAGAACGTCCATCAAAGCCGCTAAAAAAGAAGACATACCTGGATGTGATGTGATGCACAACACGAGGCAACTCTTATTGATAACTATATGCAAAGTGTATAGAGTTGACCAAAGCACGCGGGTTAAGAGGGCACATAGGAAAGAGGGGTTAATATTATTTTGGACTCACGATTTTGGACTGGATCAGTGTGCATTAGGTATTTTTAGCCTATTAATAATGGGACTGTAGTTGGTTCATAGTAACAAGGAACAATAGGGCGTATTTAGAAAGCAATGAGATTGCCATGAATGAAATCAAAAAAATATTAGGCAATGATGAAGTAAAGTATAGCCCTTTGAAAATTATAGACGAGGAAGTCGGCAATGATGAAGTAAAGTATAGCCCTTTGAAAAATATAGATGAGGAATGGAACTCACAGCTTATGAGGCCCCTAAACTTCGCAAGGTACTAACTTAACCCTACTCATTTCTACATTGATCAAGAGATACGCAACAAAAGTAAGTTCATAGATACAATCAGCCAATGCAACATCAAACTCAACCATGATCTAGTGTCCAAGACAGGTTCTTAATGGATTGAGAGAGAGAGAGAGAGAGAAACCATACGTACAAGAAAAACTCAAGAAAGAAACAAGAAGCACGAAATTACGAATACTCTTATCCGAAAACTAAAAGAAAATTTTGAGAGTAAGACAACTCAATATATTTAGGGACGTGTCACTCTTTCAATCTCAACAAATTAAATATCTATTCTACAAAACGAGAAAGGAATGAAACCAAACTATAGATAACTACAGTAACATCCAGTAAATTTCAGAAAATAAAAATACAAGAAATCTTCATTTTTACAAATCCATTTAAATTTTGTCATGGAGAAGTGGTTGTGTTTCCTCAGTGAGAGCATTCTCTCTCACTTGGCTATGTGTTCAGATCAAATATAAACAGTGATGTTAGAGAATGACCCACCTCACCTCAAGGATCATATCCTATCTTGGAGGGCGCATTGGACCATAACATACCCACACTCATTGAATTTTACTAAGGGGCATGATAGATTGTTTTGTCATTTCTGCCTGGACTTATGTGATGTTGCATGAGAAAAAGACGGAAGAATCTCGATTTTGTATGGTTCAAAAGGGATTCCAGGCCTTATTTTGTTTGTTATTATCCTTCTAAAGATGTATATGCAACAAATGTCAAAACAAAAACTTGTGAACTGATCATTGTTGTCCAATGATATATATTTTTTAAGTAGAAATACACAATTACCAATATTTTCTGACTCAAATTTAGGAAAAATTGCTATGGCACAATAGCCAAGATTATACAAGTTCAGAAACAATGATGTTCTTAATTTTTTGCAGTTTTTGAATGCCACAAAAAGTGTGGACTTGTCATCAAAAAGATAAATTTTGTCAAAGTCAAACGTTTATAAAATCCTTTGCCCTATCAAAAGTAAAAAATCAAAGATAGTCCCCCTCCATCTATGTTCATTCTCATGTCCCTAACAACCCATAGTGTAAGAATGAACTAAGTTGAGGTTCAAGCTACATACCTGCTATTAACAAGAAAGTCAGTCTGCATCATCCTCCGTGTAGCCCCTTCAGCTTACCCTCAAACTTGTCCCTGTAAAAATAAAATCACCACCACTAATAAGTATATTTTCTTATCAGTAAGTTATAACACCATCCTAATCATAAAACACAAAAAGCATTATTAAAAAAACAAGCTCAGGTTGGAAAAGAGAACTAAATAGCCTTAAGTTTTGCCAAAGCCGCCAAATCTCCAATTATACATTGATACAAATTGGTGAATATTTGTTACCAATATATATGCTTCTTAACAGCAGCTAGATATAATGATTGACCAACTCATTTGGTTCTATCAAAATATGTATATGAGGATTTTGATGAATAACAGACAAATTAATGATTGGATTGGTTTTTGTCATTCATTGTTTATCAAATGATTAATAAGGCCCTTGCAAGCATTTCAAAAGCTCCCCAACCACAACCTAACCTTTCCTCCCACCAAACCTGCAGCATTCCCCAACCTTACCATCCACAACCTAGCCTTTTGGTTCGCTACCCTTGCAGCGTCAATGTCCCTTCCTCCTCCACCACCAAAAAGAAAAAAGTACAAGGCAGAGTGGACCACAGATGATATACATATACAAAGGTCAGAAACCATCCAAGCGTAGGCTCTCCATATGTTACCAAATAAGATCCCAAATTCCCTCAAGCTCTTCTGAAGTTCTAGAAAACAGCCTTGATCTCACAAGATTTCATGTCTTACCTCCTTAACCTCTGCCATCTTTGTTATCAACATTTTTTGGCCAATGCACCTAACATTATCATTCATGGCTGGTCTCAGGTTTACAACAAATATTTCATTAAAGGGAATATCTTTCTAAATTGGTTTATGCTTTTTTCACACACTCATCACAAAAAAGAAAAATAGGAAAAAAAAAAAAAGAGTTAGTTAAGGATCTTAAAACATTTTTATCCCCATAGATGTTCAGCAAGTATGTATAAAATAAAAAAAGAAAAAATCATCACATGCCTCATTTGTCCACAAGCTTCTACGTTGTGTTATGTGAAAAATCTATTAAAAATAATACTCATGAGTAAACTACCAAAATTTCCCAATGGTAAAGAAATGAATGGGTTCATGTATGAGCATTTACACCATGGCCATGTATGTGTGTGTGACAGATATTCATGGTCAATACTAAGCAGTGCTATTCCACTTTGCTTGGGCCTTGGAAACAGCCCGAGTAACTCAGCCAAGTGCGAGGCTGAGTGGACTAGTCCAGTACATGACCAAAAAGCCCCTTGAAAAAAAGGATTTCTTTAAAATGCTAATAAAGAAAATAAAAACTTTAAACCTAAAACAAAACTAAAAACAACAGGTAAGGAATCCAAATAAGCTGAAAAGAATATAACAAATTGGATTAGAAAATATGGTTTAGGGTTGGAGATTCCAGAAAAATCCAAAAAAAAAAAATTACAAAAATAGGGCATTTGACAATAAAAACTCACAAACTATTGTAAAGCATATCAAAATTATATATACATAAATTGATCCCACAATTTTATATAATTCTTATGTTTTTTTCGTTCTTTAATGTACCCTTGTTGTACCCTGGAACTAAGGCAGGCCAAAATCTGATTGAACCAATGCCATGAACTAGAGGAAGAATTAATAGATGTAAAATTCATGAAACCATCAAATCCAGATAGTCCAAAAGAGGGGTAAGGAGAGACAAGAGCAATGACCTATAAGTGTTGTCAATACAAGTTGGCTTTTGTTATGCATGGCATCTCTTCAGGGTGTGCATCCTTGTTGAGGCTTTGTTTAACCTCATTTATAGTGCAAAAATTTCATATATTAACTTCATGTGTTTCGTGAATTAGTTTATTGAATTTAGTTAGAATACAACAAACCTAGTTGTAAGGAGTAGTCTTACTCTCAAACTCCCATAAATTTATCTCCAGTACTTTATCTAGAAAGAAAAGACGATGATGAGAGATTAGGATGCATCTAACCTTGCAATGTGTACATAAGAGAATCCATATGTGCATTGCATGTTCTTTCTTTCTAAGTTGTAATTCAAGTTAATTCTTATAAGTATGGTATGACAATCTTATCTTACAACTACTACTTGTAGGCTTAACCAGATTTGGGGAAATTGAGGTAGGGTTAGAGGAAACAGAGACACCTTCAGAAATTTGATAGAATTCCAAATATCTGAGAAACTATCTAATATGACTGGCAACAGTAAAACTCGAGGGGTCATTGAGAATATTTAGGAATAGAGTTTTTGTTAGTTTTCATACCCGCACAACACAAATGGTCTTGAGGTGAATGGGGGATTTACAGGCAGCCTAATGTGGTCGATCGTAAGCGTTGTTCCCTGCACATACACTACCACCTCACACTTAGCACTCGATACTAATAAATAAAAGAAAAAAAAAAGGAAAAAACCAAGGAAGAAATTACCACATCATTCGCAGTTAGAATTTTCAGTTGACAGACGCGTCATTGGACAAGGCTTCTCTCCCTCTACTACTTCACGCTTACACCCCTCCTGAAATCCATTTTTAACCAATTAAATAATCAACCAATCAAAACACTCACCAATCACATTTCTCCCATTTTTAACCAAAAGAAATCCTCAAAAATCCTCTCTCTCTTCTATACTTTACGTGAACAGAAATCACAATTACTTTTATGAGAATCTCCGAGATTATGATTACCATTACCATTACCATTACAGAATCTGGATATTCATAATTTTTAGAACTATGAATATAGCCATTACCAGTTTTCCATATATCTAAATTATAAATTATTCTGAATATGCATTTTTTTGTGCATGTTTGACTGTCCACCTCTATCTTAAAATTTTGTCACATAGTCCACCTCTATCTTAAAATTTGGTCACATTACTGTAAAGAGAAGAGAGAGAAAGAGAAGTAGAGAGAGGAAGAGAGGAGTAACGTAGCTAATTACAGATTCGAAAACAGAGAAACAACATAAAGACCCATAGCATAGTAGCCAATCAATCATTTTTTTTCAAGGAGAGTATAAATAACGCTACACAATTTAGTCTAGAGAGAAATGTTAATTTAGAAAGAGGGAAACATTTAAAAAGCCTGTCCCATTTACAATACCCATTAAAATTTTTGGATAGAGAGAGGAGAGAGTACCCATTCCAACTTCCTTCACCCCCAAGCCTCCCTCCAATGAGAGAGAGAGCAATTCGAGAGAGAGAGAGAGCAATACCTAGGTGAAAAGTCTTGGCATACTCTATCGTTCACAAAGAAAAAATAAAAAGATGCAGAAGTCGTGGCATACTCTGCTCAAACCTTGCTACATTCATCGTATGCTTCATTGAGGACTTCCAAGGAAGCAGGCATGGCCTTGCCAGGTTACACATCCATAACCAGATCAGAGCTCATCTTTTCTCTCAGTAGAGCAGCTTGCGAAGTAAGTTTTACTGCCCTATATAGCAGCCTTTCAGCAAAAAGGGTCTTCAGTCCTCCATGAGCGGTGATTGTTGAGAAAAAAATGGTTTGCGGTAAGAGAGAGTCAGATGGTTTGTAAAACGTGTGGATCTATAGAGGGTGAGAATGAAAGTCAGGATGAGATATTAGTGTGGGTAGTTGGACTTTGCCCGACGTATAAGTGGGGGAAGAGTCTAGAAAATTGAAAGAGAAGGGAGATGGAGAGATTTTGTGAGTGGGGGAAAAAGAGATGAAAGAAAGAGGAGATACAGTTCGGCTCATTCAATTCGGCATGTGAAATTCGGCTTGTGAAATTCGGCTTGTGAAAAAGAGATGATTAGAAAAGAGATACTCGGCTCATTCAATTCGGCGTGTGAAATTCGCCGATTTTTTTCCTTTGGCTCATACAGTTTGGCTCGGTATGGCTACACGCGGCTCGGCTCGGGTACACAGCTCGGCTCGGCTGAAAACGGCTCGGCTCGGCTTTTGTCGGCTTATTTCAGTTCATGTTGGCTTGCTTCAATTCAATTTACACTGCTTTTAGCCGAGCTGAGCCGATAAAGAGCATAGCCAAGTCTAACTGAGCTCAGCCGATCTATTTCAAGCTGAGCCAAGCTGAAGTAAGCCGAGCGAAGCCGATATAAGTCGAGCCAAGCCTATATAAGCCGAGCAGAGGTATTGAGAAAAAATAAAATAGTGAAAATACGAAAAAAAAACTATTAACATATTCTATAAGAAAATTTGTGGAATTTCAGTGAAATTTTGAACTAGCGAAATTGTGGAAATTTAGAACATAAGGCAAATTTTGGATATCATTTTTTATTCCCAAATTAAAATATCTTTTTTCGTTTCAGCTACAAATTGTTATCTAAAAATCACAAATAGACAATTTTCAAATTTTTAGAAGTTAATTAGGGTTTCCATATCCCAATTCTTCAAATAGACTGTTTATTACCTCTTTCTTCACAGCCAAGCTCACTACAACTGCAACTGCAAAATCTCATTGCAAGGTAATCTCTTTCTCTCTCTGGCAGCAGCCATTTCTCTCTATTGTTTTTGCCCATCTCTCTGTCTTAGTAGAGGAAACCCTCAAAAAAAAAAAAAAGGATATCTCTCTGCACGTCCACAAAATACTCTCCAGACTTGCTAGGCTGCTACAAAAAGAAAATAAAAGAGTCCCTCAAAGACCTGGAAGTCGGGTCCTGATCCTGAAATGTTTTGTTTGATTTTTTAAAATTTTTCTGTTTTTTCTTAGGTTTTTTTTGGTCGGTCTCGGTTTTGGCTAGAGTTAGCGCAACTCGGCTCTTATTGGCTCGACTCGCCTTATTTTGGCTTGGCTCAACTTATATCCGCTCAACTCAGCTTATATCGGTTCGGCTCGACTCATCTCGGCTAATTATCAAGGGAATTTAATATGAGTGGACCAGATGGAAGTTGAGCTGAGTCGAATCGATTATAGCCTAAAAAAGCCGAGTCAAGCCAAAATGGACCGAGCTTGTAGTGAAGAGATGGGTGCTTGTAGTGAAGAGATGGGTTTAGAAAATAACCGGCTGAATGGAGGTGCCTGTGAAGCTGGGTATCTCATCTCCTATCAATAATTTCAAGTATAGCCTTGCGCATATTTTCATCATCCTTTAAAACATCTTTTATTTCAGTTCTTGCCCTAGTCATTGCCTCATGTATGTAGCCCATGGCGGGCTTCGCATCACCATCAACCAGTCGAAGCACTCTCACTAAAAGGCGAGCCACCTCCAATGCAATAATTATTTGACTCCAAAAAGATGTATTTAGACTAAATTTTTCAGCCTTTCTCCCATCCTTATGCTTTGACCATTTGCTTTGACTCCATTGCTCTGAAGCAAACATGGGGTCCTCAAGGCACTTTTTTGCTTGGCTAGGCTTCGAAGAGTGAGAAATGACGTGGCAAATCTAGTCATATCCGGTCTCACTAATTCTCTGTTCTTTGTAAAAGACCTCATCATGCTTAGGACTATGGTGTGATTGTAAATAAATCCAACAACAAATATAGCTCTTGAAATCACCCCACTAAATAAAGATGTTATACCTATTTCCTTAAGCATAAGATTAACACAGTGAGCTGCACAAAGAGTCCAAAACATATGCTTCCTTTTCAAAGTCAAGAAATGCCCAGCTGCAGCATAGTTGGCACCATTGTCAGTGATAATTTGTACCACATTTTGCTCCCCAACAAAATCAACAATCTCATCCATCAAGCCAAATAAGTATGTACCATCATGTGACTTGTCTGATGCATCAATAGACTTAAAAAAAAAAAAGTACCTACTGGGCAGTTAACCAAAAAATTAATGAATGGCCTTGATTTCCCATCGAACCAACCATCACACATAATAGTGGCCCCATATTTCTCCCACCCTTTTCTCTGAGAAATCAAAATTTTATTCACATCAAATACAACATCCTTCAACAAGAGCTCCCTAACCTCATGTAGTGAAGGAGGAATAAGTCCTGGGCCATATTGCCCAATTGCCTGGACCATACATGCAAAACTATCCAAAGTTATAGTATTAAAAGGAATGTCGGCTATGTAAATCCACTTTGCAATCCACTTCCATACCGACTTCCTTTGTTCTTTCTTATATTTATTGTCAATTGTGGTTTGTTTTGTTTTTTTCTCTCTCTTGAACCACAATTTCGGGGCTAGGGGGTGAAAAAGAATCCATTGGCCCCTTAGAGAGAGGTGTTCTTCTCTCAGCATTACCACCAATATTTACAACCCTCTCTCTTGAGGTTGGAGTATGAGTACCCCTTTGCTTCATAGCAACTTCAGACGTATCATCATCATCATCATCATCATCATCATCATCATCAACATCATCAAATAATTGCATATCATCAAGTAATTCCTTTCTTTTTTTCTTTTTTTTGTCTTTATCTTTTTTCAATCTATCCAAATATTCTCTAATCTCCTTTTTTATATCATCTGTAGCTTGTGGGCATGCTCTTACAGTCCCAGAAATTCCGGCTAAATGGTCTTTTTGTCGAAAAATACCACCCATATAAGTATTTCCACAGAGCAAGCATATCACACAATTTCTATCTTTCGGATTTTTTAGTTTAGCATATTTCTAAGCCGGATCCTTGTTACTAGAAGATTGGGAAGAAGACATTGCCCCAAAAATAAGTATAACAATATTATTGTACAAGAAGGAATAAAAAGTTACCGACTCTGTGAAGTAGTGCTTGATTTCTTCACGGCCTCTGAAAGCCCGAATTTCTTATCACAAATTCACCTTAACATCCCCAAATCAACAATCAAAGGCATCGAATGAACATCCAAATATCAAACAACTGCCAAATCTAAGATTTGGATGAAAAAAAAAGTTTCGCCAAACTTTTTTTTCCTTTGATTTGATGCAAAAAAAGCCACACACACACACACACACACACACACACAACAGTATT